CTGCAGGCATGGAAAACTAAGCCAAAGTCCTAAAAACTGCAGTTTCTGAAGTGGCCACATGAGCCTGGCTTCAAAGATGAGTCTCCACAAAAATGCCCATATTTACAGCAATGCATGTTTACAGCCTGATCCAAAGAACAGCTTTGATCTTTATAGCCAATATGTCATAACTAGTCTATGCTGGGTGAATTTATAACTTGCCAGTTTTGGTAGTTTTTGACTGTAAAGCCTGCTAGGCCTAGCTTGCATCCTAGCTAGCTTTCTGGCTAGCTAGGATGCTAGCCAGAAAGTGTAAACTGACACTTACATTTTGTTACATTGCAGAGTGACACTGGGATAAATAAAGCCCTCTTTTGTGTGACTTGCCTGGTCCCTGATATTCATGATATATGACAATGTAACTGAATACTGGAGGAGTATAATGAGAAGCTTACGTTCAGCCTGGACTTGTACAAAGTATCCCAGGGTCAGAGCCATGGTCTGGGAGTCCAGACTGCTCAGTGTTTTAGCAGCTGTGGTTCCAGAGATGGGTGCTCCATTCAGCTGGGCATAGTAGGTCATCTCTGCTGGGTTCTTGGGACCGGGAAGTCTACGCATGCTCACCATCTGCAAGAGAATGGGGATGTCATAAAACCTCGAGCAATATGAGAAAAAAATGTTTTACCGCAGTTTATACTGATAAAACATATTATATGGCAAGATTTAACACAAAATCCAAACTCTCTTTCTCTCTACCGAGCAAAGGATTAAAAATTCTTGCTGGTGGCCCAATCAAAACTCTGAATCAGCTCAGTTGCTTTAATCAAGTCGAGCATTTGGTGGAAGATAACTACACTTGGGGAAGACACTCGAGGATAACTGAGTCACTTGAAATCTCAATTTCCTTTCATCATACATCAAACACCGTTTTTAATTTGACAAACATTACACGGTTTAATAAAGTCCGGTAATTTGATTTTGTCATAAGAAGAAGGGATGTGTGTTATTAAATGGTTGGATGATTTCTGCACTGGCTACACCCCGCACCACCCTTTCTGTCACTCTCTGCCAGCCTCTCCCTCCTCCACTTTGCAGGCATAAAACCGGTCATCCATGGCAACCATAAAACCTTACGGGTGTGTAAGGCATAAGGCCCAGGAAGAGTCAAACATTGTCTTAATTTGCACAATATGGAGCACTGGAGCCGGGAGGTGACAAATACACAAAATGTCATGCACACACACACACACACACACACACACACACACACACACACACACACACACACACACACACACACACACACACAACAAATGGCCAGGATAGAGCTTCAAATGAATGCATTGCACAGACTTTTATCAAATCAATTGTGTTGGTGAAGTATATATACAGTACACACACACACACACACACACACACAGGGTTTTACTAGAAAGACACAATGAAAATGAACTTATTTATGACAAATTTAAGACTTTATTTAAATATTTGAGTACTGCTTTTAAAGGTTTGACATTGTAGTGTGTCTCAGTTTTCATAAAGTTTGCCCTTTCCATGTCAGTTTTCTGGCAGCGTACTTCATGCTCCCCTGCAGCTTATGCGCTCAGAATATCAGCATTCTCGAACGCAACAACAGTTTTGAAACCCGTCCCCGCTGACTACTGTCAGTAGCGCTGTCCAGGGTTCTAAATCTGGAGCTGTCCAGGGACACACAGACATTCACAAATAGTAAGTTTGCCATTTCCCAAAGCCCTGTCAGAAGGGGGTTCGGGGAATGATACTGACACTATGTTCGTTGATAGTTCTTCCAGGGCAAATGTGAATGTTATTTATTACATTGAAATTTGATACACCCATTTTGCATGGCTTAGAGGGAGGGGAAACAGAAACTTGAAACTCAGGATGAACAGAGGAACCAAGATTTTTGATTATTATGAACTGTGAGTTGTGCAAAGTTACCAAAGTGTAATATAAGAACAAAATTATGTTGCTTGAAATTATCATAGTAGGTCCTCTATATCAGCGGTCCCCAACCCCCGGGCCTCGGACTGGTACCGGTCCGTGAGTCGTTTGGTACCGGGCCGCGAGAGTTGAGGCTCAGGTGTGAAATGTATAGTTTTCAGGGTTTTTATCGGTTTTCAGCGTTATTTTGTTATCGTTTACTCGGTTTTCCTTGGTCTTTTCACTTCTTTTTTTCGGTACCGGTACTAGTTTTATTTTGTTGTATTTATCCGCGACACCTTAAAGACCGGTCCATGAAAATATTGTCGGGCATAAACCGGTCCGTGGCGCAAAAAAGGTTGGGGACCGCTGCTCTATATCACCACTTTGAGCATCGTTAGTACAGCAAAGACATGTGTAATGTGAATTACAGTAAATTACAGATTGTATAAGCAGAGTGAAGGCATATCAAAGACAACCATGTCTATATATTTAATAATATATATAATTATATTTAATTATTGTTATATTTTTCCAGTAAATATACATATTAATTCGTTTTTGAAGCACAGAAAGGAGTTTAGAAACCAGATTCTACTGTGACCTTCTGAGACTCTGTCCCACATTTTCTGGAAAAAGGTAGATGTCTACAGACCGAATGTGAAATCCCAATACCTAGAGCTATCTTAATAAAAGATTAAAGCTAAACCTGAATCTCTAAAAAATAAACTTGAGTAGGTGAACACTGTGTACCAGTTTCTAAATACAAAAGGTGATGAAACTCATAGAGGTGCAAAGTGTTTTTCTTCCCGTATGGAGGAAGCAGAAGACGCCATCGTCACAGCCACACACTGAGATCCACAAATCGCATTTCCACCTACCTGTACGGTGTAGCCCCCCACAGTGGTGGCCCGCCGGGATCTCGCCGTCCGAGGGCCCTGCCTGCCAGCCACCAGGAAGAGCTCAGCTAGCCGTTGCTCCATAAGACTGGCAAAGCTTTGGTAGTTGACCTCCAGGGAGGAGCTGTCTACATCCTGGATCACTGTGAGTCGAGACAAGAGAGGACAGAGGAGGGATTTTGTTGGTTTTCAGGCAGTCACAGAGAAGAGAAACCGGAGACAAGTGAAGAGATGGAGGACAGGAAGGAAAATACAAACAGGACAAGAGCAAAGGAAGGAAAAGAGAAAATAGGTGTGAGGAGGTGATAAAGAGAGAGATTGAGAGTGTAAAGAGAAATTAGCTGAAGACAGTATTGATACTTGAGAGCAAAGAAGGAAAATGGATAAGAGAAACAAGCAGACAGGAGATGAGTGGGCTATCAGAGAGGACTGGGTGATTGTCCCTTCAATTTAATAGCTGATCATCTTGAAACTTCTATCAGGGCTACAGCGGCACACAGATCAAACAGTCTGTCTGTATCACACACACACACACATATAAACAAACACACACGCACAAACAGATGAAGGTGCTTGCATCAATCTTGATCTTCAGTGTGCGTCTCTTACTAGAGGCCATAAGTGAGATGAAGCCGTGGACAGACACACA